TGTCCTTCAGTGTCCTGCTCCTTTGCCATGCCGTCTTGTTTGTGTGTCTGCCCTAGAGTGCAAGCTCATTGAGGGCAGGACAATGTTGGTTTTGGTCTGCTTCCCACGCCTCCTGCAGTGCTGGGCTCTTCACAGTACTCTCTTGTTGAATGCAAAAGTAGATGAATGGGTGGCTAAATAAGTACCCTGTTTCCCCGAAAATAAGACAGTGTCTTATATTAATTTTTTCTCCCAAAGTCGCGCTAGGTCTTATTTTCAGGTTATGTCTTATCTTTCCATGCACTAGGTCTTATTTTCGGAGGATGTCTTATTTTCGGGGAAACACGGTAGTGTTTGTGGACCCACAGTAATCCCCTTGGGGCCCTGGAGGTTTTGATAGGATAATTATGAGGGCATAGTCATCCTACCCAAACTCCATTTTATAGAACTCATTGCTTTTTTTTTTTTTTTTTAAACAATCACAAACACACACAGTTTCTAAGACAGTCGAAAACAAGATGCCACAGTTGATTGAAGATGGTTTTTAGCAAGAGCCCGGTGCTGTCCCGGAACTTTTTCACTTGGCCTCAGGGATCAGTAATTTCCAGCTCTTCTGAAGCCAGAAGGATGTCCATGTGTGAGGCAGGCGGGGCTTCTTCTGAAGCTCTTTAACCTGTCTGCTGTAGACAGAGTGTTCCCCTAGTTATTAAGCTGGTTTCTGGCGTCTATGTGGTGCCTATTTTGGCCCAGTGAAGGCCGTTTCCAAACCGAATTTATGGCCTGTAGTTCAATGCCATGGTGACGCCTGCAGCTGACATCCCCTGTGAGCTGAGGAGGAGACCATAAGGTAACCTCCTGAAGTATGAAGAGAAACTGTCTTTTTTGGTTCCTGTTTGTTTGTTTTTAAGGCGAACAAGACCCCTATGAGGAGGTTCTCACACTAGGCTTAAAGTGGGCAGGGCTGTCCTATCTAGACCTTCAGGTTCGGGTCTGGCACACAGTAGGTTCTTGATGAACAGTTTTTGATTTTGTGAATCAGTTTTGCAGTTGGGCCAGAGTTGTTTTTAGCTGTGTCACTCTGTCATAATGAAAGGCAGAGGGGTTAGTGGTTACAAGCAGGGTTCTGGAGCTAGGCCTTGGGTACCAATCCCAGCATGGACATGTACATACTGTGTAATCTTGGAGAAGTTGCCTAACCCCTCTGGGGTTCAGTTTTTTTTATCTGTAAAATAAAGATCATAACATACCCTGCCTCAAAAAAGAGGGTGATTATGAAGATTAAATTGTTAGCATATTATAGGTAATATGTAATTATCAGCTTTTATTAGAATTACTCTTCAGACTTCAGGTCTGGCTACCAGATCCCTGTGACTAAGGATGGGTCCCTTGGTTTTCCCAGGCGTTGGAAGGTACATATTTTTCCGTCCTCCTGTGATCATGAAAACAGAGGGCATGTTGTTCCTTGGTTCCTGCTGATTCACATGGCCAATAACCTAACAAATAGCTCTTAAGAATCAGTGCGTTGTTTCATGTAAATAGCCCTGACTTCATGGACAAGGAGCGAGTGGTGTGACGACAGCAGTGCCCTATCCTGCTCTTGGCCAGCCTTGCGTGTGAGGACAGTGGGTTTTGCCGTCTGGCCCGGCGTCTGCTGCTCACCAGGGAGAATGACGGAGCCAGGTCTGGCTGTATTCTAGGTGGCAGACAGATCAAGAATGGGACTCAGGGAGCCATCCTGAGGGAGGAAGGAAGGCCAGCTTTGCTGTTTGCAGCCTCCTGTGTCCTGTGCCCTGTTCAGCTGGACCTTTGGGTCTCACGCTTTCCCTGGTACACAGTCGGTTGGAGACTGGGGGCTATAGTGGCAGAGGGGCCGGGATTGGGGTGGGAGAGACACACCTCTCAGCCTCAAGGTAACTTAAGTTCTGGGGTGGAGCCAAGGCAGGAAGCTGTGCCCACTGCTGCCCACCATGTAACTCAGGAGGGAGGGGGAAAGCTTAGAGTGTGAGGATGGAGAAGAGGCCCAGGGATCTTGGTGAGGGTGCCGGGGGCAGAGGGGGCAGGAGCCTGGGAGGCCAAGCCTGTTACCTGCAACAGCTTCTTCTGAGCTAATGCCACGTGGGAAATGCCATGACAGGGATGCTTCTTCGCACAAGAATGCGTGCCCAGAAGGCTCTGATGATGGGAATGTGTTCACAGGCAGAACAGACAGTATCCTTGTCATGTGGCGTACTGAGTTGGTGCTTCCATTGTTTGTCAAAGCACATAATCAATGCATCCCACAAACTGTGTTAAGAGCCATGAAGGAAAAGTGAGGTGTGAGAGGTTATACAGGGGGTCCATCCTCACCTCTGATCAGTTAGGGAAGGCCTCCCAGAGGAGGTGACGTGAGCTGAGGTCTGAAGCAGGGGTGGGAGAGAGGGGAGCAGGAGCAGTGTGTATGAAGGCCTGGAGTTGGAACCAGTGTGGCTCCTCTGGGGAAAACGCAGGCCAGTGCCTGACCAGCAGCCAGCAAGGAGGGGACAGAATGGGAAGTGCTGAGGCCACAGAGGGGCCTTGGGGTTAGATTTCTACAGGACAGAAAAGCACATGAACACCAGGCAGTAGGACACCAGGTTTTAAGTGTGGGCAACCTGAGGGGAATTGAGGCTGGCGGTTGTATGCCCCCTCCTGCTGTTTTATCAACTCATCTTTCCTCTGTGTGCCTGCCTGGGAAGTGGCAGGCTTCCTCTGGATGTGACTGGATATATTATTGATCTTTATCCTAGAGCACTAAGCACTATCATGAAATACACTCAGGATATTTCCTTTTGGGCTCTGGGTAAGACTTAGGTTGAACCTCTGAGTGTGGATCTCAGGGCCTCTGAAGGGAGAGCCACGATGCACGTCTACCTGACGAAGCCTGTGCAGTGCTGTCAGCCCTCAGCTCTTCCTCCCCGTGCTGAGCAGCCAGCAGCAGGCAGGAAGTCGGGGGTGTGGGTTGGGATGGGAGGGAGTAATGAAAGAATAATAGATTTGGGGCTTAATATTACTCCGGGTTTGCAGCTGGGAGGCAGTTGGTGCATTCATGGACAGGCTTGGGCTCTCTTGGAATCTTTTCAGTAGGGGGCGTCTGTTTCCGGTGCTCCCTTTAGGAAATGGCACTGCCTCTGGACCTCCCTCTGCTGTTCTGAAAAAGGCTCAGCGAGTCTCATCTTTTTGCTTCACTCAAAGACCTGCAGATATACTGAAACAGGGGTTGTGTTCACACTTTCCCTGTACCCTGTGATCTTGGTGTGATCATTCAGTCAACTCCAGCACAACTGCAGCCGGATGTGTGCTCATGACATTGCCATGCATTGCGGGATACCCCTTCTCTCACCCCACACTAATGAAGAGCCTTCAGTGTGCCCAGAGCTCTGCTGTATGAAGGTGGATGAGAGGAGACCCAGCTCTCAAGGCCCATGCTGTGGAATGATGGGCTGTTCCAAAGGAGCTCGTAGATTGTATGTCCTCCTGTTCACAGGGGTTCACTGATAAAGGTTCATAGTTGAATAAGTTTGGGAGATGCATCATCATGAATGCCCCTTCCTGTTTACCTATTGCTATGGAACAAACTACCACTCAACTAAATGGCTAAAACAACCATTTATTATTATCCCTCGCAGTACTGTGGGTTGATGGAGATCAGCTGGGCAGTTCTCTCTTGGGGGTCTGTCACACAGTTACTTCCTTTCATCTCTTTTAGTTGCAATCAGACAGTAACTGGAGGTAGACTCTTCAGAAGTTGCTTCACTCACATGTCTCCAGGCCTGGGTTGTCTGGGGATTTCTCCCTGCACATGGTTTCACCACATGGTAGCTTGGGCTTCCTCATAGCATGGCCGTCTCAAGGTTGTTAGGCTTCTTACATGGCAGCTGGTTTCCTCCAGAGTGAATGTTGCAAGAGGCCTGGGAGGAAGCGGTAAGACTTTGTATGAACTTGCTTGGAAATCCCCAGACATCACTGCCACAGCATTTTATTGGGTAGGTAGGTTAGTGAGGCCAGCCCAGATTCATGGGGAGGGAATTAGACTCCACAGCTCAATGGAAAGAATAACAAATAATTTGCAGCAATCTTTTTTTTCATTTAATATATTCAATATATTGATTTTTTTTACAGAGAGGAATAGAGAGTTAGAATCATCGATGAGAGAGAAGCATTGACCAGCTGCCTCCTGCACACTCCCTATTTGGGATGTGCCTGCAACCAAGGTACATGCCCTTGACCAGAATCGAACCTGGGACCCTTTAGTCTGCAGGCTAACGCTCTATCCACTGAGCCAAACTGACTAGGGCAGTTTTCAGCAAACTTTAATTTACTGTTATCTCATGGAGATTCACAATGCATGAGGATGTATTCAAAGTGTCTGAGAAATCCTAAAGAAACCTGCTTGACTCAGCATTTTCTAAGCTGATTATTATTGTTATGTTTAAAATCTTACTCATAGAAAATCATGTAGCTTGTATTCTGCCAGAGAGCAGTGGGCCGAAATGAAAGAGTAATAGATTTGGGGCTCACTAGTACTTTCTAATAAACAAAACTATCCAAAGATGGAATTTAGAAATGGCAAGGGAGTTCCTAATTTGGGGAGGTACCAAAAGAGAGGACTCGTGACCTGCATGGATGGGAAGGCTGGATGTCCCAGTGGGAAAAGCTTTGATTTGACTTCTGGCCCATCAAATGCACCACTTACAGCTCTGTAACTCTGGGCAAGTTACCTCTCTCTAAGCTTCCATCTCCTTATCTACAAAATAGACGGTTTCTATTTCCTAGGGTTGTTGTGAGGATTGATGAGATAGATCCTGCAGGGGAATTACCCAGCACAGGTGCCTTCCTTGGTGAGACTTTGTGGCTGCTCGGTTCCCTTCCACATCCAGTGTTTACTAGTACTAACTTTGGGTTTATTCTGGACTTGCTAAGTAAATCAGTATTGTAAGTCATGGGCTCATCCCTAATTTTCTCACAAGAGTAACCTCTGTACCCTTTCACTTTTTCCAATCTAGTTTCTCATAAGTGACCGTGACCCTCAGTGCAACCTGCACTGCTCTAGGACCCAACCCAAACCCATCTGTGCCTCCGACGGCCGGTCCTATGAGTCCATGTGCGAGTACCAGCGAGCCAAGTGCAGAGACCCAGCCCTGGGTGTGGTACATCGAGGCAGATGCAAAGGTGAGTTGTGTACATCTCTGCCCAGTTGAGGAGAGGTGCTTGGGCACCACAGCTTCCTGCATGGTACATCCTTAGCAAGGGGTGGTGGTAGTGGTAATGGGGAGTTGGGGATCTCAAAATGAGTCTATTTATTTGGTCTGCTATCTTATCCCTCTACCCTTTCTACCAGAGAATATGAAGTGAACGGGTCTACCTGAAGAACTGAGCACTTTTCTGTCTTTGAAACTGGCTCGGGCTTAGAGGGATGTGATGCCATGTGGCCAGGGCTATTTATTTTTATTTTATAAATGGAGATGCTTAAAAATAGCAAGACATTATTGCTGGCTTCTGAACAGGGGTTCCAAATTGTTGGCCAAGAGTTCTGGTGTTTTCTTTGGTCTGCTTACCTGTTTCAAAATATTAAAAACATTTGAGACAACATTTAAAAATTAGGAGATTCAACATCAAATTTCTGGATTTTTGTGCTTCTCACAAGAAATTGGAAGCTCTGGGAATATCATGTTTGTGTTCCCTCCCACCAGGCAACACGCGGCTAGAGCTGAGCAGCTGCTACCTCCCCAAAGGGGAACCTGCTCTCCGATCTGTCACAGTCCTCAGCACCCCCTACGGTGTCTCCAAGCGGACGCTTCTCTAATTGATGTCCCTTTCCTACCCCCCTGCAGATATTTGGATTTGTGACTGTGGGCTGTTTGGAGCCATTATAGGAATTGTAGGAGGCGGAGCAGGCCTCTCAGGGCCTCTGATTTCCCGAAGAAAGGACTTGCCATTCTTGAACTAGAAAACATCTTGGAGGCTCCGTGGGCTTGCATGTTTTTTTTTTTTAAAATATGATCCCTCCCCTCCCCCTTTTTAAAAAAATATATTTTATTGATTTTTACAGAGAGGAAGGGAGAGGGATAGAGAGCTAGAAACATCGCTGAGAGAAACATCGATCAGCTGCCTCCTGCACACCCTCTACTAGGGATGTGCCTGCAACCAAGGTACATGCCCTTGACTGGAATCGAACCCGGTACCCTTCAGTTAGCAGGCCGACTCTCTATCCACTGAGCCAAACCGGTTTCAGCAAGCTTGCATGTTTTTTAATAAACCCAGAGAAAAATAAGAGAAGTGGAATGAGTTTTGGGGGGGCACTTAGAAGAAAAAATAAGTAGAATGTGGTATAAATACAACCCCCGATTTGCTAAGAAGAGCGCTGACAAGGAGGATGGGCCCATGCACGCACTGGCCCTGCCTGCCCCGAGAGGAGCCAGTCCCGTGCGGCTCCCCCGGATTGTGGTGCGGATGGATGCGAGAGATTCCTTGGGGTGTTTAGGCTCCCAGGCCGGGCAGCCATGAGCTTGCACGGCGCCTGTGCGTGATCCAATGGAAGTGTGACATCTGCTCGCTCCTCTCCTCTTCCAGACGCTGGCCAGAGCAAGTGTCGCCTGGAGCGGGCGCAGGCCCTAGAGCAGGCCAAGAAGCCGCAGGAGGCGGTGTTTGTCCCGGAATGCAGCGAGGATGGCTCCTTTACCCAGGTGAGGCCTTGGCCCAGTCTCTCTGGCCGGGGGCCGAGAGGAGGTGCCAGGCACGGGAGGGCCGCCCCGAGCCTTGGCTCTCTGGGCAACAGCTGAGGCTCTTTGACACCCTCTGTGCTATCTTCTGGTGCCTACACTCCCCTTCCTGGACCCTCCACACTGCCCCTTGCCAGCTGGCAGTGGGCGCTGAGAAGGCGTGTGCCAGTCCAAGCCAGGAAATTGGCATTGCTTGGTCCCCGTCCTCCCTGCTGGCCCTCTCCATTTTTCTCTTCTGTCAAATGGAGGCTGATTATTTTTTCTTATCCTTGCCAGTTTCCATGGGCAACCCTGGTATTCCCTTCACTATTTATTGCTACCGCTCTCTGCTCCCCACTCCCACCCCCTGCCTGCCCCCAAGACCCCCAGTGAGGCAGGGACCCCTTGGAGTACAAGGTGTACTGTGGTGCTTGGAGTATGTAGTGTGTGTGTGTGTATGTATATGTGAGTGTGTGGTGCCTGCGTGCGTGCATGCATGTGCATACACTCATGTGTCTGTGTGCACACAGATTTTAAAGTTTCTTTTCAGGCAGTCCTGCCTCTCATCCTGCTCTGGCCAGAGCTTTGTGTAAAAGTAACGCTGGCCGTGTTGATGTTGGCTCAGACAATTTCTAAAACAGGCAGCAGGGGACAATAGGACAGCAGGTTACTCCTTCATAAGCGTTTAGGCTGGAGGTGGGGCGGGAGGTGGCTGGATGAAGGCACTGTCCATGAGAGTGGCAAAGGCCACTGGGCAGGGGTGAGCCAGCAGGGGGTTGGGGATGGTCTTGGTGCCTTGACTTTCCCTGTAGAAGAGAGCGGAGATGGATGGAAGCAAAGCCTGCAGAGGTTTCAACCACCCATGCAATTCTGAGACGGTTGGGCAGAGGGTGTGGGCTGGCCTTCGGGCCCATGGTTTCAGGTCTCCTTTCGGGGCTGGACCCAGGGGAAGGCTGCTTTCAGACTGACCACCAGCTTAGGAGGCAATGTGGGGAGTGGTGGGGTTGGGCCTCGTATTTTCAGAAATTCCCAGTGGATTCAAATGTTCGTCCAGGACTGAGGGCCACTGCATTAACACGGACCTTGGCTCATGTTCTCACGGAAGCCTCACTCCGGCCTGTGAGGTAGATGCTGTTATCTCCATTCATAGAAGATGCAGCCTCAGCCCGGCACAGAGTGGTGGAATTGGGATACAAGCTCAGCTCTCTCCAGCTCCAGAGGCCTCCACACTCTGCTGTTCTCTGAATCGGCAGCTTTAAAGGGACTCTGAGGTGTGGACTGGCAAAAGGCAATCTAGTGCTGTGGTTAGAGCACCGCTCCTAGTGCTGTGGTTAGGGTACCAGACTGCCCGAGCATGACTCCCAGCCCCCGCCCCTCAGGCAAGCCACTGAACTTCTCTGGGTCATACTATCCTTATGGGGAAAATGGAGATTACCTCCATTGTTATACATAGTGATAATTACTATATTATATCTATTATTAGGTTGCTATTATTACTATCAATAAGTATTACTATAGCTGACCTCATAAGGCCGTGTTGAAGATTACATGAGTTAATGCGTGTAAAACACTTGAAACACAAACTGCTGTATAAATATCTATCATCATCATCCCCCTCTCCACTCTGGCTCTGCTACGCACATCTCCCCAAGATGTTATGAATGATGTCACTTAAGGAAACTAAAACCTTGTGTTGAACCTCCCCAAGTTTGAAAATTGATTAGCCCTCTCCTCAAATTTTTTTTTATTACAGTATTTATTCTAGTGGAAAGAATGCAGGCAAATCTTTGAATATGGATTTGAGAATTCACATACCGGGTAGAAAAACAGACCTCTCTCCGCTGAGTTTGGGGCCGAGATGGAGTAAAGGTCATAGGAAGGAGGCAGCATCTCTTCCCCCCCCCCCGCCCCTTTTCTCCAGGCTTGTGTAATTCTGAGCGTGTTGCTTATGAGAGCGGTTGACTCCTGCCCTCCTGGTTCTGAAGTGTTTGCTGCCGCGTGACAGACAGCTGCTGGCCAGCTTTTGTTTGGGCGAGGCCCGGCCGGACCAGGTGGTGTTTTCGGGGAGAGGAACTGCCCGATTAGTCAGGGCGGAATCGCTAAGTGAGAGGCCCCTGAAGTTCAGCAAAGGTTGGGGACGCAGTCAGGAACCCCTCATTTGTCTGACACGGTAAGCGCTGCCATGTGTCTGCAGGCTCACGGCTGGTCATCCCGGTGGGCAGCCGGGCAGCCAGACAGCCGGCCGGGCCCGTTACCGTGATTGAAATGGATGTGCTTTTCCCCTTGATCAAAGGCACTGCAATAACTTCACAAAACAAGGCTGCCTCTTTGAGTGAGCGTCAGTCGCACTGACGGGCTGCCAAAAGGCGAGGGACAAATTGCTTTCTCCCTCCCCCCAACCTCCACCAGCACCGGGCTGGACTTTTTTTGTTTCCTAAGACTGAAACCCAGAGGTCAGCTATGGCTGTGCTGCTTCACTGTTCTTTATAACATTGATAAGCATGTATCTTAGCGTTAATAAAACATGTTAGCCCTGTGAATTACGACAGTAACATACTCTTGAAGTTCAGAGTGGGAAGGAAGGGGCTTGAATGGGACTGGGTTTGTCTGGCATGGGACACAGCTTGGGACCACATGACTGGCTTGGCTCTAATGGGGTTCATGTGGGATGCAATGATCTCTGTTCTCTTCTTTGTTTTCCCCTTGTCCTCTTCCCTCCACCCCAGCGCACACAGCAGAGTGGCTGGTGCACATTAGATTTTTTTAAAAGCCTTCATACCTACCGAGTCCACATCCCACACCATGAAGTCAAATTCTGGGAGTGGGACCCCAGGTGATGCCAGTTTGTTGGGTCAAAATTACAAATGGCCCACCGCTGTCAGGGCGTCATCACCCTTTTTCTTTCTTTCTTTCTTCCTTTTTTTTTTTTTTTTTAAAATATATTTTATTGATTTTTTACAGAGAGGAAGGGAGAGAGATAGAGAGCTAGAAACATCGATGAGAGAGAAACATCGACCAGCTGCCTCTTGCACACCCCCTACCGGGGATGTGCCCGCAACCAAGGTACATGCCCTTGACCGGAATCGAACCTGGGACCTTTCAGTCCAAAGACCAACACTCTACCACTGAGCCAAACCGGTTTCGGCCCCTTTTTCTTTTTTAAATTTTATTGTTGATAATTTCAAAATATATATATGTTTTTATTGATTTTTAGAGAGAGAGGAGAAGGGAGGGAGGGAGAGATAGAAATATTGATGAGCAAGAAACATCAATCAGCTGCCTCCTGTTGAAGGTGGGTGATGGGGATCAAGTCTGCAACCAGGATAGTGTCCTGAGCAGGAATCGAACTGGTGACCTCTTGGTGCATGGGTCAACGATCAACCACTGAGCTACACTGGCCAGGCAACATCACCCTTGTTCTTGATTGCATCATTGGAACATGGAGTTACTGCTCTTTGGTGTCCTGCTGAGTAAGGTCGGAGGTCTGTGGTCTTTGTCCTCTGTGGTGGCCTTATCTATTTTCTCTTCTGGGTGTCAGGAACGCGGCTCCTGACATCTGTTCTGCCAAGTTCTCTGCCAAGCAGTTGCCCAATGCCCCAGCTGATTCACAGAAACCAGAGCTGTGGTAGAAATGTATCGGATCACCGCCACCAGGAAGTGGCTGGAGCATGTCAAGCTTGTGCATCACTGGATAATAACAATGGCAACTCTTTATTGAGTACTACTTGGTGGTAGGCAGTGAGTTTTATACCCATAATTCTTTATTAGGACCTTTTGAGGTAGTTATTAATACCCTATTTATAACAGAAATATGAGCTTCAGAGGGGTTGAATAACTGGTTCAAAGTCACTAACCTAGAAAGGACTTCTATCCAGCCCGCCTAGTTTCAAGGCCTGTGATCTTAACTTTTTTATGCAATAGAAGGCTCCCTTGTTATAAATGAAATTTATTTCCTATTGTTGTTCTAGAAGTCCCCTCTCTGATGCTGTTGACCGACTGGTCAAGCAAACATTTTAAAAAGTTCTTTTGATTATGGAAAATTTCAAATATATATATAAAAAATAGAAATAATAGTATAATGAATTCCATGTATCCATCACCCAGCTTCAACAATGATTGACATGTGGCTGGTTCTGTTTTATCTTATCCCATTTTTGCCTTCCACCCCAAATTAGATTGCTTCAAAGCAAATCCCAGACAATATTTTTTTAATTTCAGACAATTTGAGCTTTGCTATGTTCTGAGCTATGTACTGGCTGCTATGGGGGATTCAAGAAATGTTGTGACCTGTGCCTTCATAGATCTCACATGCAAAAGAGAGATGAAGACATATGATAAAGTAGCCAGTGTATGAGATCATACATGTACAACTGATTATATTTCAAATACTCAGTAATTTACAAGTCAGTAACTAGAATCCTGAAAGTACATACTTTATTGTTAAGAAAATATATACAAATTAAAAAATTTTGAACATAAAAATCACACCTGAAACAAAACTAAAAGGCAAATGATATATATTATTAGCCTTAGTGACAAAGGACTAATATTATATAAAGAATTCTCACCAACCAGAAAGAAAAAAATTCTAGTAGAAAAATGGGCCAGAGATATTAACAAACAGGTTACACAATAACAGATGGCCAATAAGGGAAAGTGAATGATGTCACTTTCCTTAGTAATGAAAGAAACACAAATAAAGATAATGATGTGTCGCTTTGCTTGCCAAATTGGTAAAAATTGGAAATAGCTTGAGTGAAGGGAGAAGGTGACCCCCACATTGCAGTTAGGGGGGTAAATTGGCACTGACTTTTTATGACATAACTTTGCAGGATGGGTTAAAAGTTTTTCATTGTGTCCATATCTTGAACCTGGAATTCTACTTCTAGGAATTTATTCTGAGAAAATAATTAAAAATAAGTGCAAATATTTAGCCACAAGGATTTCCAGCTAAGGTTTGCTTGCAGTAGCAAAAATTTAGAAAC